TGTCTTTTGATTGGAGCATTTAGTACACTGATATTCAAAGTAATTCCTGATACTTACTGCCATTTTGTTAGTTGTTTTGGTTGTTTTTGTAGTTCTTCTCTGTTCCTTTCTTCTCTTGCTATCTTCTTTCATGGTTTATTGGCTTTCTTTCTTTCTTTTTTTTTTTGCATATATATTACTGGTTTTTGATTTGTGGTTACCATTAGGTTTATATATAACATCGTATGCAGAAGGAGTCTATATTAAGTTGATGATTGCTGAAGTTTGAACCCCATCTTTACTCCTCCATGTTTTAGATGTATAGTATTATACTTTACATTATTTTATTCTGTGAATCCCTGACTGATTTTTATAGATATACTTAATTTTATTGCTTTTGTCCTTCCAACTTTTCTTCCTCCTACTTATAGTCTTTCCTTTCTACTTAAAGAGACCCCTTTGACATTTCTTGTAGGGCTGGTTTGGTGGTGATGAATTTTTTTAACTTTCATTTGTCTGGGAAACTATCTCTCTTATTCTGAAGGATAGCCTTGGTGGATAGAGTATTCTTGGCTGTTGGTTTTTCCCATTCAAAACTTTGAATATAGCATGCCACTCTCTTCTGGCCCGGCAAAGTTTCTGCTGAAAAATCAGCTGATAGACTTATGGGGTTTCCCTTGTATCTAACTGTTTTAGTTTCTCTTGCTGCCTTTTTTTTTTTTTTTTAAGATTTCATTTATTCATTTGACAGAGAGAGACACAGTGAGAGAGGGAACACAGTCAGCGGGAGTGGGAGAGGGAGAAACAGGCTTCCCACCGAGCAAGGAGCCCAATGCGGGGTTCAATCCCAGTACCCTGGGATCATGACCTGAGCCAAAGGCAGACGTCTAATGACTAAGCCACCCAGGCGCCTTGCTGCTTTTAAAATTCTCTCTTTATCACTACTTTTTGCCATTTAAATTACTATGTGTCTTGGTGTGGACCTCCTAAGGTTGATTTTGTTGGAGGCTCTCCATGACTCCTGGGATCTGGATTTCTGTTTCCTTCTTCAGATTCAGGAAGTTTTCAGCTATTATTTCTTCAAATAAATTTTCTGCCCCCTTTTGTCTCCTCTCTCCTCTGGGACCCCCTACAATGCAAATGTTATTACACTTGATGATGTCACTGAGTTCCTTAAGTCTATTTTTATTTATTATTATTTTTTTTTCTTTCCTATTCAGCTTGATTGCTTTCCATTTCTCTGTCCTCCAGGTCACTGATCTGTTCTTTGGCTTCCTCTAGTCTACTATTTATTCCACCTAGTGTATTTTCAATTTCAGTTATTGAGTTGTTCATCTCTGATTCATTCTTTTTTATGTTTTCTATCTCTTTGTTAAGGGTCTCACTGAGGTCCTCCACTGTTTTCTCAAGTCCAGGGAGTATCTTTATGACCATTACTTGAAATTCTCTATCAGGCACATTACTTATCTCCATTTTGCTTAGGTCTCTTGCTGTGATTTTATCCTGTTCTTTCATTAGGACAAATTCCTCTGTCTCATTTTGTCTAATTCTGTGTCTGTTTATATGTGTTGGGAAAGTTAACTTCATCTCCTGCTCTGGAAAGTAGTGACCTTATGAAGAAGAGGTCCTGTAGTGGCCTGCAGTGTAATGCCCTCTCTTCATCAGAACCTGGCACTTCAGGGGTGTCTCCTATAAGTGATGTGTGTACCCTGCTGTTGTGGCTGATCCGCTTTTGCCTTCAGTCTGTCATGTTCAATGGCTCTCTGCCTGTTGTGGGCAGTGTTTGGTCCCTGTGGTGTTAGTTGACTGGTCTGGGGCCGAGTAGGGCTTGAATTGAGTCAGACTGGGGGTTTACCAGAGATGCAGTAGCACCAAACTGCAGGGTACTTTCCCTGTGTTGTCCCCAGAGAAGCTTTCACTGGTGGGCAGAGCCTGCAGTCAGATCAGATGTCTGTCCCCAGCCCACTGCTGGGCCCTAATGACTGCTTCTGTATGGTGACTGCAGGTGGTTAAGAAGTGAGTAAGCCTTCCTAATCTTCTCGTGTCCCTTTCCTGGCTTGCTGGGCACGAATGCTACTATATTGGAAGCCACTTGTTGAAGATGGCTCAGACACAGAAGAGAAAAAAATCTGTGTCCTTGAATTGTTGCTTCAGAGAGAGCTGTGTGACCAAGAATACCCAGATTATGAGAGCAAGAACTAGTGTCTTAATGTGGAAAGGCAAATGTTGTGATTCCTTTATTACAGCAACTAACACTAATAACCCAGGGTTCTTCCCCTTCTGCCTGATATAGTATCCTGTTATTCTTTGGGGAACAACTTCTTTTTACTCCATCATGGCTTGGTAAGTCTGTCTATTCCTGTGCTCTGTCCCCCTCTCTCCCCAGTTTGGCCCGCTAGGTGGGTGTATGAACCAGTCTCATCAAGTTCTCCATTTTTGGATGCATAATCAGTTCAGGAATGGTTTCATGACTCAAACTGTATCAATAAGAATCTTTCTAAGCCTCAGCATCTGGGCAGTGGGAAAAGTAGTTTTCCTCTTCTTTGGACTCCTGTTTGGGAGAGCCTACAAAATGGTGGCATCTTGTCCTCTGCAGTGGAACAGAATTAAGACAGTGAGCAAGGCAGGAAGAGCTGAAGCATGGAGACAGAGGCAGAGCTCCATTATCACTGTTGGGTCTTTGAAGCTAGTGGTCCCTAAAGACAGTGCCTGGGTTCACTGCTTCTGTGAGCTGAAAATTCATTGAAATTATTGTATGTAACTTTTGTTTCATTACTTATTCTGCCTTGGCAAGTTGAGCAGTATCATTGTCGCAAGCCAACACACTGCCTGGTCAGTTCTGGCTCCATTCTTCTCTCCAGGCTCATGGTACACAGTCCCTGCTCGCTTGCTCGCAGCTCCATGAGAGCCACCAAGGAGAGCTCAGGGTTCTGCCCACGCCCCAGTCTGCTCATTTCTGAGTCCTTCCCACCTCTGATATCTTGAATCCAGAACTTCAGTTGCTCTCAATCTTCTCTCTCTCTCATTGTCTAGTTTATCAGCAAGTCTTGTCTTTCTTCTTCCTTCTCATTTCTCTACTTTCTCACCTGCATTTTCTCCAAGACTCTCCCTAGTGGATTCTCAGCTTCCACTCTTGCATCCCTGTAACTTATTCCCATGTAGCGACTAGAATAATCCCAGAAGTGCACATTATTCTGCTGAAAACTGCAATGTCCTTCCTTTGCTTTTCCAAAATTCTTCCTGTGACCTTCAAGTCTTTGCATGGTCTGGCTCTTCCCTGGTTTTCAACCTTACCTCTCATCCCTCTCTTGCCAATCCCTTGACTTGGGGTCTTGGACTTACCATTTCCCAGATCCCTCTCAGTTCTTCTGGGCCCTTGGGCCTTTGCACCTGCTGTTCCCACCAGAGGGAAGTTATTCCTTTCTTTCCCAACATGGCTATACTTTCTCAGAGAGGCCTCCAACCATCCTATTTAAATGTATTTCCTTCCCAGGAGGGTCTGTGATTGTCTATTTATTCTTTTACTTGTTTGTTACTTGCCTCTCTGCTTTAGAACCTAAGCTTAAAGGAGGCAGGGGTCTTGTGTGCTAATCATAGCTGAATCTCTGGGCCCCGTGCCTAGCACATAGTTGGTGCTCCATAAAAAACTCTTCTCTTCATGTGACTGTCCTTGAGAGGGTCCTCAGAAGGCAGTTTGAAACCCCTCAGACTAGAAATTCTCTATGGTCCTTGTTGGTTTGTCTTCCTCCTGAACTAAGTGCAAATTGAATATAATATTTTTTTAAAGATTTTATTTATTTGAGAGAGAGAATGAGAGAGAGAGAGAGAGCACATGAGAGAGGGGAGGGGCAGAGGGAGATGCAGACTCCCTGCTGAGCAGGGAGCCCGATGCGGGACTCGATCCTGGGACTCCAGGATCATGACCTGAGCTGAAGGCAGTCGCTTAACCAACTGAGCCATCCAGGCACCCGAATATAATATTTTGATTAATATTCACTTAGGTTGGAGTGATATTTTGTCTTATTTATATGTACTTTTATTTATTTATTTATTTTAAATGGAAATATAGTTGACATATAACATTATATTAGTTTTAGCTGTACAACATCATGGCTTGACAATTACATGCATTATGAAGTGCTCACCATGATAGTGTAGTTGCCATCTGTCAATATAAGATTTCTTGCATATTTTCTGATTACAGAGGTAGGAAATAGAAGAAATCCATGCTTAAGTTTTGTTTTAATAGAGTACTTGTAAGGGGTTCCTTTTAACTCCTCAAAGGTTAAAGTTGAACCCAGACACGTGAATTTGTGGTGCTTTCAGTGCTAGAAGGATGTGGGTGACTGTATCCTTTATTCTCTTTACTTTGGCTATATTCAGCTGTCATTATGGTTTTGGTGAAATAGAGATAGAATTAAAAAAAAATAGATTTTGTGTTTTATTTTATTTTATTTTATTTTATTTTTATTTTTTTAAATAGGCTCCATGCTCAGCATTGAGCCCAACACGGGGCTTGCACTCATGACCCCGAGATCAAGACCTGAGCTGAGATCAAGAGTCAGATGTTAACCGACTGAGCCACCCAGGCCCCCCTAGGCTTTATGTTTTAGAGCAGTTTTAGGTTAACAGTAAAACTGAGCAGAAAGTACAGAGATTTCCCATTTACTCCCTGGACCTCCTATAGCCTCTCCCACTATCAACATTTCTCACCAGAGAAGTATATTTGTTATATTCAATGAACTTATATTGACAAATCATGATCACCCAAAGTCCTCAGTTGTTTATATTAGGGTTCACTCTCCGTGTTGTATATTCATCACTATGGATTTTGATAAATATACAATGACATGCGTCCATCATTAAAGTATCATACAAAATAGATTCACTGCCCTGAAAGCCCTCTGTGCTCCACCTGTCATTCCCATCCCCACAAGCCTCTGGCAACCGCTGATTTTTATTTTATTTTATTTTATTTTATTTTATTTTATTTTATTTTTTTACTGTCTCCATAGTTTTGCCTTTTCCAGAATATCATATACTTGGCATCTTACAGAATGTAGCCTTTTCCCATTGGCTTCTTTCATTTAGTAATAGGCATTTAAGGCCCCTCCATGTCTTTTCATATCTTGGTAGATCATTTCTTTCCAAGTGCTGAATAATGTTCCACTGTGTGGATGGACCACAGTTGATCTAGGTTGCTTGTAAGTTTTGGCAGTCATGAATAAAGCCCCTATATACATCTTTGCATAGGTTTTTGTGTGAATATAGGTATTCAACTCATTTGGGTAAATACCGAGGAGAATGATTGCTAGATCCTATAGTGAGACTGTGTCTAATTGTGTAGAAATAAAATTTCAAAAAATTAACAAATAACTTTTAGATGGTTAAATGTTCTCCTCAATGTGCAAAGATTCTTACCAGTAGCCAGGGCCTTTGCAAATGATCGTCAGACTGTGCCCCACAAGGACTGGGCCAGGAGGGTGAGTGTGGGCTGGGATCCAGCCTTCTCCTGCCCTAGTGTGACGCTTCACCTGCTCCACTCCCACAAAACTGCCCTGTGAGCAAGCTTAGATCCTGCTAGCTGTCTTCTCTCTCCTTGGGTCCTGGCCTGGCATCTTATCCTTGGGCCTGTTCTCTCATTTCTTCTCTTTCTCAGAGAATTCCTCTTCTCCAAGGCTGCTGGCGGTGTGGTGGGGAATGGAAAAATTTTGTGTCTTTTTCATACCCTGTAAATGTATCCCTTCCTCTCGAGCTCCTCATTCTGGAGCATGCCCTGGGCTCATCGGAAACCCAAGAAGCCACTGCCACCAGCTCCAAGTGTCAGATTGAATTCTCGGGCAGGCCTCAAGGTTAAAAGACCCGTTTCCCTTGCTCTCCGACAGCTTTTAAAAGTCAGTCCCCATAGGAAGCTCTGTTCTTCCCAGGGCAGGGGACAGATGGTCTCCCCCTCTGCGCCCCCATTACCCTAAATGTGTTTGCTCTCCGCCAGTAGGTGGCAGTATTCCCACACTTTTCTCTCTCGCATGCGCTCTCCTAAACGCAGGATTTATGTAAGAGCAGAGTGGGTTCAGGGTGTTGAGATAGTATTAGAGGAAGCCTCCAAAGGCACAAGACTTTTTTTATTTTGTTCATTTAAAAACAGATAATCTTTTACCTTTTTTTCATTTTAACCCTTTTCTTTTTCTTTTGAAACAATCTCAAATTTACATAAAAGTTGCAATTATGTTTCAAGAACTTTGTTTTTTTCCTCAGAATCTTTTGAAAGTAAGCTGCCCATGTGATGTCCCATCACCACAGAGAACCTTATCTGTATTTCCTGCAAACAAGGACATTCTTCTACATAGCCACTAGAGAGCCTTCAAAGTCAGGAAATGAACAACCGTACGTGACTATTCTGTGATTCTCAGATACCATCCAAGTTTCACCCTTTGTCCCGATTATGCCCTTTACAGCACAGGGATCCAGTCCAGAATCACCACTGTATTTAGTTATCATGTCTCCTAATATCCTTCAAGCTGGTAATGTTCTACAGTCTTCTCTTGTTTTCCATAACCTTGATACTTTTAAGATTACAGGTATTACTTCGTAGAATGTCCCTCAGTGTATCTGTGTCCTTACATGAGATTCAGTTTATGCATCTTTGGCAGGAATAATCACAAAAGTGATATGGATCCTTTTCACTGCTTCCTATCAGGTAGCACAGGTCTCAGCCTGTGCCGTGACCGGCGAGCTGTTGTGCCTCCGCCCACTCGATTACAGTAATGTCTGGCGGTCATGTCGGTCATATAAAGACATTCTAGTTCCCTTTGTAACTAACATGACTTTTGGAGTTACTTTGAGACCATGTGAGTAGCATGTTTATCATCAAATTTTTGAATTACTCACTCATTTACTTCTACCAGTATGGACTGATAAATTGCTGTTTTATTCAGTGGTCTATTTGTTTCATATTTAGTCAGTGAGAACCGCTTCGAGGTGACTTCTATGTCCTTTTGACACACCCCATCATTAATTTCTGGCACAACATGTACGAAGTTCATATAGTACTTTCTTTGTCCCCCCATCTGCCATTTCTTCTAAGAGTTCTGGGTTCTTTTAGTGGAGAATGGTATTTAGAAACCAGATTGAGGAGCCAGATGAGCTCATTGTTTTTCAAGCGCCCTTGCTCCCAGGTCTTTTTGTTGGACAGAGCTAAGGAATATGTGACTATGCATGTGAGTATGTGCACACACACACACACACACACAAACACACACATGCGTAGACACACACACATGCAGACACTGACACACACATAGGCACACACATACATATATATACACACACATAGATGCACACACACATATACACACAAACATAGATACACACAGATACACATATATGCATGTACATACACACAAACACACATATACGCATACACACACACAAAAATACACACACATAGATACCCACACGTACATTCATGTATACACACCTAGATATACACATATGTGCACACACATATATGAAAATACCTATATACATATCAGACAGTTATATCTACAATTTTTTCTGTATCTGTATATACTGAAACCTATGAGTCCACACCAGAGCTTGCTACATAATTTGTGGGTCCCAGTGCAAAAGGAAAATGTGTTGCCCCTTATTCAAAAAACAGAAAAAAAGTGCTGTGTAAGTTATTGAAATATAAAGCTTTTTCTTGTTTTCCATAGTTTCTCTCCAACTTGTCATGATGTCTTTCCATGTGCTATTTAATGTCACTCTAAGGAAAGAATAATTAAAAATTTAGATTATTAGCATGACTTTTACTCTTCATCTGTGTATTGTGCAATGCCAGTTTTCAGTGCAAATATAAAAGCATTTAACTTGTATGTGGAATCACCTAGAATAATACATATTTTGTACAGGCACACGTATTTTGCTCTCACCAGGACAGCTATGACACCACACAAAACTGACTTAACTGTTTTTATTTCCCCTCCTGCTAGGTGCACGTTCTACCAACACTGTCTGCTCAGCTGCTCAGCTTAGGCTCACTGATGAGCCAGGAGGGATGTAAGCAAAGGAGCTACAAACTGTGTGGGGACCACAGGCAGGCCGCCCCAAGAGGGGCCACTGTGACATATAGATTGTTTTAAATACAAGGTATGTGAGAGATGGCCTCAGACCCTACTGTCCCCCTGACAGCAGGAAATAAATCTCCCATGTGACAGGCGCCTTCCCTGTACCAGGAGGGAGAGACAACCTATCACCAGGGATGGGAAATTTAGAGCCCAGGTGCTGTATATATTCTTGTGACTTTCTACTAATTAGCTACCCTGGCCCAAATTCTGTGGAGAATTCCTGACTAACTGAAGCTCTGGAAGTTGTTTTGTTTGTCCTGTCAATTTCTCACAGATTTATCATCTCTGTCTAAAAAGTATCAGAACCGTCGGTCTGGGTTGCTTCTTTCAGTCTCCATTTCATTCTTGGGCCTCCATGCGCGTGTCATCAACCTTTGTTTTTCTTGTGTTAATCTGTCTCATGTCGGTTTAATTCTTCGTCCAACCAGAAGAATCTTGACCAGAAGAATATTGCTTCCTCCCTAACAATTGCCGTATCTTTCCCTTTCCTTCTAGGTCCATAATTTCGGCAAAGTTAGTTGGCTCATACAATAGAACACGAGTAAGGAAGAATACGGCCTTTTGTTTTTCTTAGAAGACCATTGTCTTCTAGCAAGTTCTAGTCCAAATGGAAGGCGTGGCTCTCAGAGCTCTCAGTCACAGAAGGAATGTGTTTCCTGTGTTGGCTTTGAGTCTCACTGAAATCCCAGTGGGTCCATGAGAACCTGTGCTCAAGGGGCATGGCAGATGCCACATGCGAAGGGGACATCAGGGAATGACAGACATGTATTGCCACATCTCCTCTGTGTATTCTAGCCTCTATTGTCTTGTTAGACTTCATTTACAGAGCACAAGTTCAAAAACAAAATTGCTAAGAATTTCGAGAAGGTGACGCAGAGTATGAAACAAAGCGTGGGGCTCTTCTGAGCTTGGGTCCCCACCGGCCTGCACAGGTCCTGGGATCGGAAGGCTGGCCTTGGCTCTGGCATCTGATGATCCAGAGAACCTGCCATAGAGGCTGCCATGGGTGTCCTTAGAAGGCCCCCACGTCCTGGACCCTGTGCAAAGGGTCATAGTGGGAAAAACCCTGTAGTTTATCCTACAAATCCAACCTCAACCCAGCGGACAATGAAGGGGTATGGACCCTCCCATATTTTACAGTAGCAATTTGAACCTTAGATAGTTGTCAGAGTAAAGCCCCAAACTCTCTCCTGAGTGTTTATAAAAGTCAAGAAATAATATTTATAAGCATTTATATGAAGCACGACTGTACATCATGTGGAGATCATTCGTGAGTGACAGGCTCTGATCCCTTGCCATCACCAGATTGGGCTAGCTCTGCTAAAAATCATTCCTGGACTCGGCAGGATAGCTGCTCATGTACACTGCATTATTTTAGTCTTCTATAGACCTTCTTTGCTGAACAGGTGAGCAGTACAAACAGTGGTTGAGAGCTTGGGCATCAGATACAGGTGTTCCTGACTTGAATCCTGCTCTAACCTTGGCTCTTCCTCTTGCCACCCGTGTAACCACTGGCAAGTGACCCAATCTCCCTAGATGTCAATTCTCTCATCTGTAACATAGGGTATGGATGCCTTCTGACAGAGTTGGGACAAGAATTAAAATAATTAATAATTCGCCCGCCGCATTGGGCACAATGCCTGGCTCATCGTAAGTGCTCAGTGTATATATTTAAAAACTACTTAAAACTTTTGACACAATTATTAACTGTGCATTGGCATTCATGGGGGTAACATTATGACAGCGTTCCCTTGTGATGTTGTGGTAGGAATTTGCCAAGATGTTCATTTATTCATTTATTTGTGAAGTACTTTTTGACTGACTATTATTGCCAGGCATGATTCTTACTGCTGGTGATGGAGCAATGAGCAAAACATTAAATAATTCCTGCCCTCAAGAAGGTTATATTCTAGTTGCTGGTCAGCGGTGGGAGGCAATAAGCACAAAAAATAAGTAAATTTGGGCACCTGGGTGGCTCAGATGTTTGGGTGTCTGCCTTTGACTCAGGTCATGATCTCCAGGTCCTGGGATGGAGCCCCGCATTGGGCTCCCAGCTCGGCGGGGAGTCTGCTTCTCCCTCTCCCTTTGCCTCTGCCTCTCCCCCTGCTTGTGCTCTCTCTGTCTCTCTCTCTCTCTCAAATAAATAAATAAATAAATCTTTAAAAAAATAACTAAATTATTTAATATGTTAGAAGGCAAGAATGCTATGGAAATAGAACAAGAAAGTGGGGGAAGAGGGTGCATTTAAGAATGTGATCATGGTGGGCCTCGCTGGGAAGGTGTCCTTTGAGTGAAAACTTGAAGGAAGTAGGGGTGAGGGGCACAGATGCCGGTGGGAAGGGCACCCCACTAAAACCTTGGCGTGGGAGTGAGTTTCTGGTGTGTTCCAGGAGTGGCCAGGAGAACAATGTGGCTGGAGAGCAAGGAGGTAGCAGTGGGAAACGAGGTTGGGGTAGGGGTGGGGGCATCGTTCACGTAGGCCTGTTGGCTTCAGGAAGGACATTGGTTTTTGCCCTGAATAAGATGAGAGCCATTGGAGGGTGTGAGTGAGGGGTGTGTTGTTCAACTTGTGTCTCACTGTTTGCTTCCTCCTCTCTCTCTTCTTTTTTTAAGATTTTATATTTAAATAATCTCTACACTCAAGGTGGGGTTCAAACTTATAACCCTGAGATCAAGAGTCACGCGCTCTACTGACTGAGCCGGCCAGGAAACTCTCTCTTCTTTTCTTTTTTCTTCTCTTCTCTCCTCCCCTCCCCTCTCCTCTCCCATCCCTTCCTTCCTTCCTTCCTTCCTTCCTTCCTTCCTTTCTTCCTTTCTTTTCTTTCCTTTCTTTCTTTCTTTCTTCCTTTCTTCTCATTCCTCTTCTTCTCTCCCTCTTCCTCCTTTGGGTAGATCAACAGGAAATTTTTTTCTTCAAATTGCAGTGTCAGGTCAGCTCTGTTCCTGAGCAGCTGCATGGTTTTCAGAGAAGATTATGAAAAGTGTGAGTGGTGTGACTTCCCAGGCTGTGTCCTTTTGTTGAGAGCCAGAGGGCTAGTCTACATCCACTTTCAGGGCAAAGCAAGGGCCCCCTTTGTCAATAGAATGTTAGGTTGATGAAACCTGCACAGCTTCCTCACAGCAGTAGGAGGCTTCAGAACACGTACCATCATTGGTTTTTACTATCTTGGCATGATCGTTTGGTTAGTAGCGGTTTCCTCCACTAGACCATCAGCTCCATGAAGGCGCAGTTCATGGCGCTGTTTTAAAAATCAGCGTTGTGTCCCGGAACCCACTACACTGCCCTGTACACTTATAAATATTGGTTGAATGAGTAGCTATGTTGGATCAGTAGGATAATTTCTATTTCCTTTGCTGCCATAATGCTAGAATCACACAGGAAACCTGTGTTCACAGAGCCGTAGGCAACTATATCATTGGATAAAATCCATCTGTTCAAGAACACATTGCAAAACTGTGCTTTGTGTCAACAAGATGTGGGTCGCAGGGCCCAGCTTTTGTCATGATTTAGCAACTGTCTGAAATGTCCCCTCTTTGCCAATTTGTTGGGAAGTCAGACAAAAAGATTTCAGAGGAATGGTAAGATTTGATAAGAAAACCCATTTGTGTGTGTGTGTGTGTGTGTGTGTGTGTGTGTGTGTGTGTGTGTAAATGAAAGAATTCAGGAGACTCAGTTTGGTGTTTTTTTTTTAATTTAAATGATTCTTTTTAAAAAAGATTTTATTTATTTATTTATTTATTTATTTATTTATTCATTTATTTATGAGAGAGAGGGAGAGAGAGAGCACACACTTGAGCATGCGCAAGCCAGAGTGGGGGGAGGACGCAGAGGAGGAGAGAGAGGGACAAGCAGATTCCACGCTGATCCCGAGATCATGACCGGAGCCAAAACCAAGAGTTGGGCACTCAACTGACTGAGACACTCAGGTGCCCCTAACATAAATGATTCTTAAATTAATATGAATATGTAAAAATACCAACCTATGTAAAAATGTCTACTTTTATGAATCTTATGCAACTATAAAACCAAATAAATATGTCATTTAATATGAGCTCAATTATGAAAGTGATATAATTCACAGGAACCACATCAGTGAACCTAACGGTGCCTCCTGCACGAACCTTGCCCTGCCCCCCATGCCTGTTTCCCTTGGCAGCCTTGCACCCCATTCCCTACGGCGATGTGCTTCTCCCAACATTCCTCTTGCTCAAAATATTGCAAAATATATATTCCTTCTGCCATAGGCAATGCAATTCACCTTTTACTTCCACTGGATTAAAAATGCCTCATTTATCTACTAAATTCGTTTCTGCTTAGTTCACCAAACTAAAAGTCGTATTACTCGATGACTAGTCAATCAGCCCAACTGCAATGAAGTCACCTTGCTGTCCCTAGACATAAAGCAGATGTTCCAATAGCCCAGACAGTGCATACATTAAAAGTTTATGCATTACAACTGAAATGAAAAATAATTAATGACTTACTAATTTGCTGTCGAAAAAAATTGAGAGTGACCAACTGTAGATCAGAGGTCTGTGGCTTAAAAACATCAGGCTAAATGGTGACTTACTGCCTATTCATTCAGACCCAAATAATCAATTTGGTATTTTTTCTTTCTCTGTGTGTGCACGGAGGGTATGTGTGTGTGTATTTGTGTGTGTGAGAGACGGAGAGAAGGAGGGAGGGAGCAAGAGAGAAGTTATTCTTGAAATGTACTTGTTTATTTTAGGCTAGTCTTTAAATTTGGATGGGTACATAATTTCTTATGGAGATCTTTGAGGACAATCAAGAGTATGCTTGCCTCTGGTTATTTTCAAGATTCTTAACATTAAGTTGGCATTCTTGAGGGATGAAAGATACTATATTGTTCTAGTAAATAAATACAAGAATTTGAGAAGGCATGTCCTGGGCAAATGCCAAGACTTGTTTTTTATTTTCCACTTAAGTAAACTATTTTAAAATGTTCTTTGGAGATAGTGCTCACCATTGTGTTATGTTTTAGACTGTTCAATAGAGAGTTT